CAATAGAATGGATTGTGCCCCATCAGTGGATATTCATTATTAATAATAATAATTAATATTAATTTAATATTCTTTATTGCACGCTAGACAGGACATAATACAGAGAAACTAGAAAAAAAGGGAGATATTACAAAGGGTGACCTTATTGCTACGTAGCAATCTCTTCCAGGCAACCCGAGGCAAAGAAAAACATGAACTATATAACTATAAGAGGAGGGTGCAAGATGGAGAAGGAAATAGATAAATATGTATAATGTAATATAGTAAATAAAATAGATTAAGATAAAAAGTCATTAAAAATATTGTTCTAATGTCACAGTTCGTCGACCCCCCCCCCCCTCCTAACGTGTGACGTAATTTATGGATGGCCCCTAAAACAATGTAAGGTGCGAGCCTTTCTCACAGCTTCAGGCAACGAATTCCAAAGACGTACCGCATGCACGGAAAAAATGAATAGGATAAGACGTCGGAAGTATGACGAGGAATACTAAGAGTTAAGTTAAAAGATGATCGGTAGGAAAAGCATTTTTTTAGGTTAGGAGGTATATAACATCATATAAATTCCTCAGATTCCAAGATGAGAAGCTAAAGCTCTCGTATTATGTAGTATCTGGGACACCGAAGGTACCATAACAATATGGGGAAGCTTAATTTCTACATTGAACCAATCTGGGAATCGAACCTGTGACCTTAGAGATAGCGATACATTGAAACCAGAGTACGAACCTCTGCGCGTTACACTTGCTCTGTTTAAAACTGCACATAAGGCAAGAAAATTAGACGCAAGAAAAAAAAGCCTAAATTATGGCATTATATTTTTTTAATAATACCTCGAATATCTACTTTTATAGTGAAGATGTCTGTCCGTTAGATAGGTTATCTAAGAATATTAAACACGTATTCTTTTATTTTTTCCAAAACCAATAAATTACGGCGAAAATTTAGTGATGCATCTCGAGTCTCGTTTTTACTCGAGTCACACGAGTGAATTTTACAACTCGAATTCAAGCGAAAAAAGATATTACTCGAGTCTCTATGCACTCGAATTATTGAGTCAACTAGGCGCATCGAGTTGATCTCTTGCCACTAGATGTCACTTCGCTACTCTAATTTATTAATCTATACCGCTTATTTTTTATTTTCTGGATAACAATTGTCAACATCTGTCAACACCAACACCACAGATATCTTCATAAACTAAACAATACATCAAAGTGTAACAAATGGCGGTCTTATCGCTGAAAGCGATTTCTACCAGACAACCTTTAGATGGAGAGGAATGTTAAATGCAACCTTCGGCGGCGGCGTGGAGCTTCAGTGGCGGCGGCGTAAATGGCGGCGAAAACGGCGTCGTTATGTCAAATGATGGAAAATTAAAATTTAAATAATTCAGAATGCCTTTATTGACATAACACATATAAAAGCTACTTAAACTAATAACACCTTTTAAGTAACAAATATGGCACAACTATACTCTTCAAAATTATGTAACGTAGTCATAATGATGTTAAACAACAATATGAAGGTACTATTTTGTTCGATAACTTTTTGCCATCTTGTAGGTAGGAACATGATCCCATTGCTATAGAAAATTAGGGGCGTCTAATCAAGAAACCGCATCAAGTGGTTTTGACAATACAGCGTGATGTTAACTGGACACTGCCTAAAAAATTCTGTAGAGACCTAAACTGGTGGAAATCTGAAGGTGCAAGGTCAGGACTATACGGCAGATGTATTAACACCTTCCAGCCAAACTCTTAATTTATTTAAAAACCACTCCCTTTCTTTTGATTAATTCTGGCCGCTTTCTCTCAACTTCTTGCTTTAATCTCATCAGTTATTTGCAGTAGAGTTCAGAATCGATGATGCTGCCTGACGGTAACAGCTCATAATGAATAATACCCTTCCAATCCCACCATACAAACAGCATCACCTTTTTTCCAGCTAACCCGGATTTCGCCATAGTCTAAAAAGCCTGACCGACCTTTGACCACGATTGTTTTCGCATGTTCTTGTCGTACCTGATCCAGTTTTTATCACCAGTTAGAAAAACAAATGAAAATCACACATTTTCTTAATTTGAATTCGAAATCTTCTTTAAAATTTGAACCTTTTTAATAATACCGCAACCAGCCATATAGAAATGGTATAGCCAGAAAGATTTTATTACAACTTTATGCATACTATATACGAAAAGACTTTTTCCCCCAACCTAATAGTTATTACGTATAGAAATTATTTTATTGATATTATTCCCAGTTAGACGCAATCGTTATAACCGTTTTAGTAAGGCCAGCTACAAAGAATACATGTTCGCTAGGTGTGCTTGTAGCTAGATTAGACAAATAAGAGTAAGTATTGAATTTTTTATTTCTGCCAACTTTATCTTGAAACGAGTGCTACATTAATTGTACAAGATTGACAGCTGTAATTAAAGAAGAAAGATTCGATTGTTTATTTGTTTGCATCTGTTCATTGAATTTACTTTTGTATTCATTAAAATTTTACTAAACATGGAAATACGAAACGGAATTAACACGTGCCGCACAGAATGCACTGTATTGCTTAGCAACCGAGCGAACGAATGTTACTCGCAGTTCGTGTCATACCGCGCCGTTTACGCCGGTCTTTCGAACCGGTCAGCGGCGGCGTGTCATGATCGGCGGCGTCGGTCATCGGCGCGGCGCGGCGCACACGTCTAAAACTCTTTTAATGTTTATTTTACTTAAATATTTGTTTATAATTACTAAGAGACACCTCGTTTGAAATTTTACTCGACTGACTCGAAAACTCGAGTATGGCTTAAGTGAGGTACTTAATTGGCTCGAGTGACTCGAGTCACAAAATCCTGCTCGAGTCACATCACAAAGATATATTGAGTTGAAATGGCGCATGACGTCACACCATTGTACACATGGCTGCACGTCAGATTACTTAAACTTATACATTGTGGACTTTGTACCGTACCCGCTTATTATAGAATTCCCCTAATAACAGAGGCTTACGATGGTGATCTATAACGTGACATGCGGCCGTGCGTACAGTTTCTACATAGTTGTGACGTAGCGAGCACCCACTCCTCAACTTTAATGTCAATTATCTAAGCCATTTCATGTTAAATTAAAAAAAAAAAATGTATCCAATATATTTCTATTATCTATCCGATGGCCTAAATAGAACTTCTATTTTTGTGCCCGGCATCAACCCAATGTAACTACTTGCACAGCTGAGAAATCTGCATATAACAAAGAATATCCAAAACTACAAAAAACTTACTATTAATGAAGTAGAACTTTTGATAATTCTATTTCATTTTGAATATTTTCTATTATAGCATTGTGAATGGAAAATTGACTAAACATAATATGAGTAATTAGAAGAAATATTCATTCTAATAGAAATTATAAATATTTGTAAAAATATTTCTTTCGGCTGTTTGGTTGGATTCCCTGAACATCAAAATCAAAAACAAAATTGTTTATTCAGTTTAGGCTTTTACAGAGCACTTGTGAAAGTCGAAAACTACGCCATCGGTTCTTAAAACTACGGCGGGACACCTTGTACTGAGAAGAAACTCAGCAAGGGCTGCTTTTTTTCTCCATGTTTTATTTCACACAGAGAATTCTTATTGAAATGTGACTTCATTAGAATATGAAGTCACATTCCATTACAATATTAGAGATAAGAGACATATTTTCGATAAGTTATTAATATGCCGATTGACGATTCATACATTGGAGAAAATACACTCACTAGTTGCAAAAAGTAACAATTGCTTGAAAAATTCTTCAGGTCTTTTGGGTCCTGGATAGCTGAGTGGTTAGAGCAGTCGCCCGGTATGCGAAAAGTCGTAGGTTCTAGTCCCGTCTCAGCGTACCTGTGGCTGGTGATTTTTCGTAACAATATTTTCTAATATAGTATTTTTCGCATTTTGGGTTTTGATAATACAATTTTTTTATATATATTTTAGAGAAGTCTTTTATACGACGTGTGCTATAACATTTATGTGTATGTTTCCGTGGAGTGCTCTCAGCGATAAATCTTTACCGGGGCGTGTTACAAACACTTTCAGGTGTATATATCACCCACGGAACGCAATAAACTATATACCCAGTGATACTTTACGTAAATTATTATAAATGTTGTGTGATATTGGTAACCAAGGGAACTAAATGTTTTTATACCAAGTTCATTTTTGTCATTACTAACTTAATAACTGGAACAAAAGTCGATCATTATAGTAATTTCAAACACAGGTAAATATTGTGTTAAGATTATTATATAATTATTCCCTGTTTTCTGTGTGATAGTATATGGACATGTTTCATCTTCTGGTTTAAATTCTTTAATTTTTTTAAACCTTAAATTTTTTTTACCGTAATTTGGTTCGTTTGGTCGAAAAAAGTTGGTTTGTCAATGCAAACCTCCATGGATGAATTAATGACATAAAAACACTACAAATAATAATAACAAAATTTTAAAAATGATGAGATTGCATGTTACCTTAAGGATGTTAGATGACTCTGTAGATAATTATAATAATCTTTATTCGTTCAAACAAAAAACAAAACATGTTTTTATGCATAAATTAATAATTTGGCATTTTCGGTCATAATTAGCACTTAAATGATTGCGAGCTCATCTCAAACTAGAATTCAATCTGTTTTTTGGAAGTCGGTGATTCTCTAATCTAAAGGAACATTTTGCATCGTTTTATATATTGGTAGAACTTTTGTGTGTACTTGCGTGTGTGTGGGTGTGAGTTTGTGTGTATATTCTATTTGGTTTGCCTACTTTAACATGTCCTCTGTTTCGTAATAGTTAAATGACAATAACAATTCTCGATAATGGTTTACACAGTGTGCTTGGTACGTAAATATATCTGTAGATGTAAAATAAATAAATAACTGAGTTATCTTTATAGTAAGAAAGTAGAAGTAATACTCTGTTTATGTCATAATTATCAAACCGGCGATAAACATACTTCGCTAAAGATAACACAATCTTATTTAATTCTTACTCTTTCGCTTCGCGCCTTGTTGATAACGCGTGTTTCAATATGCCTCGAAGAATATTCGTTGTCGGCGTTGGAATGACGAAGTTTGTTAAACCAAACACTGGGGGTGATTATCCGGAATTCGCTAAGGAAGCAGCTTTAGATGCCATAGCCGATGCTGGAATAAAATACGAAGATATAGAACAATGCGTTTGCGCTTATGTAGCAGGAGACTCAACTTCTGGCCAAAGAGTCTTATACCAAATAGGGATGACAGGCATACCCATATATAACATCAATAATAATTGCTCAACTGGTTCAAGTGGACTATTTTTAGCTAAACAACTCATCGAAGGTGATATATCTAATATAATAATGGTGTTAGGCTTTGAAAAAATGAAGCCTGGTGCGCTTAAAGGAAACTATACAGACAGAGCTGCACCTTTAGAAAAACATATCCAGAAAATGGGCCAGATGATAAAGATACAACCTGGGCCTATGACACCACAGTACTTTGGTAATGCTGGCATAGAACATATGAAGAAATATGGGACAACAGAACTGCACATTGCGAAGGTTGCTGCAAAGAATCATCGTCATGGAGCGAGAAATCCACGCGCTCAGAACAGGAAAGCTTATAATGTTGACGAGGTTTTGAAATCGAGGAAGATTTACGGTCCACTGACGAAATTGGAGTGTTGCCCAACGAGTGACGGAGCTGGCGCAGCAATTTTGATGTCCGAAGATGCAGTAATAAGGTTCGGTCTTCAACATAAGGCAGTCGAGATTTTAGGAATGGAAATGGCCACTGATACTCCTTCATTGTTTAGAGATAAGAGTTTCATAAAAATTGTTGGCTATGATATGACTGTTAATGCTGCTAAGAGACTCTATGAAAAGACTGCAGTTTCACCAAAAGAGGTGGATGTGGTGGAACTTCATGATTGCTTCGCTACAAATGAGATTATTACTTATGAAGGTCTACAATTGTGTGGGGAAGGGCAAGCAGGGAAGTTTATAGATGCTGGTGATAATACTTATGGGGGGCAGGTGGTAGTAAATCCCAGCGGTGGGTTGATAGCTAAGGGGCATCCACTGGGCGCGACTGGATTGGCTCAGTGCGCTGAACTGGTGTGGCAACTCAGAGGAGAAGCTGGTGAAAGGCAGGTTAGTATGTTAACCTTTTTGTTTCAGTTTATGTTAATTTAATACATTACCAGTTAAATCTGACGAGCTCCATGCTTGCTTGTACAACTCTTTCAATCCAGTAGAAAAGTGCAGTGTGGTATTTTAGTGGGCAGTATGTTATATACATTTTGGCGGAATTGTCACTCATTAGAATCATACGTTGTTAGTTCGATATACGAAACTGGTCAATCGTTATGCCTAATAAAGTCATAATAATAGAAACCGGAGACTCCAATGTTTACTATGTCAACATGTTGATACAGTTGCACGCAGACGATCTCTCGTACCACGCACTTCGCTAGCGCTAAATGCTCTGCTGGACGCCAATTCCATGGCCAGAGACCGATTAAGTTATATAATGCTTTGGGAAAAAATATATTCGGTACCCTTTACACTTACACCAAGAACTGCTACTCCCTGGGCGGTTGCTACTTGGCCAGTGGCTTGCCTTGTATAGTTGCTACCTAAATGTTTTTTTACACGACTGCCAAAAAATAGTTTAGTTTAGAGTTAAATATACTTATGAGTTTCTTTATTCAACTATACTATAAATAACTTAACGGATATGAATGTATAGCGCATCATATGATGCTTTACATCAATCTGAGTAACAATGGCTATATTTTTATTTAAAATTTCAACATGGCGGATGGACGAACGTCATGAAAATATATGAAAAATATTTTTTTGCAAATTAGGTATCAAATTATAGGTCTTGATGTATGCATTCCAAAAAAAAATATATATATATATTTTGTACATGTTTACTGGTTACTAAAGGGAATAAAACAAAATAAATAATTACTGTTAAAAATTGGTAGTTCTAGGCTCCCGAGATAGGATACTTTAAAAAACCCCAAAACAAATATTTCTTCCGGGTTTCTAGGATTCTCTTTTTGAAACGGGCAGTCGGATGGAATTTTGCCCATGCTCATTTTTGCAGTTGCCCTCCCCTAGATCGGGCTCTGTTCCGAGAGTGTGGTGGCTGAACGGACGAGCTTACTGTTTGCGTTTGCGATTCTGTTTATTTTGGGTTTGATGAGATGAGAGAATTAATATCAGTTATTAATATTGTTTTGTTTCTATATCTTTCTTTTTCTAAGCTTTAATTAATGTGAAAATGAAAGCTCATAAAGTTTTAAGTACAGCAGTTATACAATAATCATTGATGTTCAAAGTTCTGAGATAATAATAGTTCTCTGTTTAATCTTTCGATACATCCCCAAAGGAGGTATAATAATCACCAAATAAGTTTATAATCGCAGTTGGCGGAGACGTCGTAGAACTATTATAATAATCACCCTTTCATTCCAAAGAGGTTGCAGTTCTAAGTTACGATGAGCTACAGTTAAATCGGTATAATTTATAGGGCAATCAGTTTGGTGGTTACGGAAATTGTATTCATTTTTTCAATGAGAAAGCATTTAAACAGAACGGAAGCACTAAAACTAGATGGCGACTCTAGCAAAAGTTGATTTTTGCAGGAAACGAATGGACCAAAGTCAGACATTTCCGTTCCTTTTAAGTAACATATAAAAAAAATGAAATTTGAAAAGTTCGAAACTTATATATCAATACAAATACGAAAAAGTACAAATAGAATTTGAGTTGTTTATTGTGTTTTGAAAACTTATTTACTTTTAAACTTGAAAGAAAACAGGAAAGGTTGTCATGGAGAAACCAAGAACGTACCGTAGCGACATCTAGTTTGATTTCGGGAACTAATTTATTTTTAAAATACTTCCTCATTAAAATAATTCAGTGGTGTCTTTTAAACCATTTGATTTTTTTAAATTATTTATTATTCTTTCAGGTGCAAGACGCTAGAATTGGTCTGCAACACAATTTGGGCCTTGGTGGGGCAGTGGTGGTTGCGATGTATAAAAAAGGCTTTGCTGCTACACCACAGAGAAATATATCGTCAAAATTGTGAATATATTTGTAATTGTAAACTTTATTTAATTATAACAGTATATTTGAAATGTCGATTTGTGATAAAATATGTGGTAACCTATCCGATATCCTTGCTTATACTTCTAGGTTTAATATGTATGATGACTGGGTACAAAAAATGCAATTCTATTTAGTCCGTCAGTCAGATAATAGAAAAATATTAGATACGTATTTTTTTTTTTACTTCAATTTAACAAGAAATAGCTTAGATAACAGGCATTAAAGTTAAGGAATGGGGGCTCGCTACATCACAGTTGAGTAGAAAACGTACTCTAACGTGACGTCATGCGAAATTTCAACTCAATGTAACGCCGTAATTTTATTATTACGAATAAAATAAAAAAAAACGTGTTTTATATTTTTTTACATTCTACCTGACGGACAAACAAACAAAAATTAGTCATCATCCCTATTGCATTTTTCGGCGTATCTTTATCTTACGTTCAGAGTTGCAAATAAAAATTTTAGCAAATGTCGACAGAAAAAGGTGATACCAGATGTAATTCAACTCTTAGCGTCTTATCTATAAAACAAAGTCGCTTCCCACTGTATGTACGCTGAGATTATTAAACTACTCAACGGAATTTACTGAGGATACACAAAAGAAACTATCAAATCGAGAAGTGTTGATTTATTTTGGTCAGGTAATATTTTACAAACGTCCAATTTTTCTTTTGAGGTGTGGAACTGAATTTCTTTTTTTTTTATGGCAACATCAAATATATTACTGGGACAGGAAGGTACATTTAAACCTTCCTGTCCCAGTAATATCGAAAAAGGCCAGAGAAACCGTTGGAGGATAGCTAGTAATGGAATAAAAAATATCGAATTCGTTGTACATTTGTTTTTTTTAATAAACGCTTTTCATCTAATGCAACTTGTAAAAGTTGATTGAGAAACGGAGTTGAGTCCTTTCAATGAATTTTAAGGAAATTCAACTGATTAAAAATTAAACAATTCTGTGACTTTGTATAACACCGTAGACCCCAAATTAAGTACTTACCTAAAACACTAGTATTAAGGCAATCTGAGACAACGAAGGTAATATTTAGAAACACAATTCAAACATTCCATTATCTCTAATAAATTCGATTGTTACGCTCAATAATTTCTTTTGCTACGGTATTGGTTCAGTCGTATTCAAATTATCAGATATGTTGGTGGTTTTCTTTAGTTTTTTAATTATTACATCTTTTGTATGTGGTCAAAAGTATCCTGAATTCTTTAGCAATGATGATTTGAAGGTTTGTAATTTAGACATAAATTTTTATATAAAAAATTACGTAAATTTACAATTTTTTTTTCATATTCTAAACTAGCTTTCCGCCGGCGGCTTCGCCCGCGTGGTCTTGTATTATACAGTAAAAACAATCATTTTGAATCAGCCTGTCTATGAAAACAAAACCGCATCAAAATCCGTTGCGTAGTTTTACAGATTTAAGCATATATAGGGAATACAGGGACAGAGAAAGCGACTTTGTTTTATACTATGTAGTGATTAATTTACATTGATTTAGAGAAGTTTTTGAATTGCCGCCATTTTGGAAAAAACAAAGATGGTGTACTTACTAGTTAGTTAGGTTGCATACCACGTTGCATACTATGTTATGTAATCGTGAAATAGTTCTATATCATTAAAATAATTTCATAATGTCAATTAAGCATTTTCAGACAAAAAATTAAATGAAATCAAAGATAGCGTATCTACAAGTTACGTTTCATATTTTTGTATCGTTTAATATTAAGTTGAAATAATACTAAAATAATTTTACGGAGTGTCACTCAAGCATTTCGGACAATAAAATGAGAAATCGGTCACCGCATTTATTGCTAGTATAACAGTTACTTACGGACGTTAAAAAAATACAATATTTTCCGCGCGTAAACCTTAGCCTGTACTAAATTATATTTTATTACGCATCAGGGAATGTTGTCTATTAGCGACTACGGAGTAATACCATTGCCAAGCTTTATTTTTCATTCTTCTAGTCCCTTTTCATCATATAGAATTAAAGTATCCTAGAATGAGATAGATTATGTCGTCCGGCCAGTTTGTGAAAATTACTCTGTACTTTTATCATTCTTAATTGGATCTCCAAATTAATTGGTCGTCATTAACGCCGTTAGGGCGTTTGTGTACTACACTGAATTCAGTTCAGGCATTTTCAGGCATGTCAGGCTATATGTAGGTAATGCTAGCCGGTGAAATGTCCGGAATTTTACGGTCTGGATTTTTTTCTCCTTTTTTTTCTATTCCGGATTGTTTTTTCCGGTCCGCGAAGGCGGCAATGGGAACGTGTTTACGCTTTTGCACTACTGTGTCCGCGATCCGGAAAATTCATGAGCCTGCGGAGTAGGCTTGGCAAAAAATAATCGCTTTATGAAAAATCGATATTTATTTTGGCGATATTGTTAATTTCCGATATATTGATAATTGATATTTATTTTAGAGTATATCGACGCTGGAAAGCAAACCCGCAAAACCGAAATTGTTCTTCAGAGCAGAAAAACTTTTATTTTTTTTGATAAATAATTCCTATAAACGTCCATGGTAACAAATAAGGTGTTCCTTAGTCAATTTATACAGAAATAAGATATTTTTTTTGCAAAAATTTAAATATTTTCCTCTCTTAATATCCATTTTGGTTATATTATAACATATATTATATTATAATTCGATATTTTGTATGTTGATTTCATATGTCACCATCACCAGCCCTTTTATGTCCCCACTGCAGGGGCTCAGGCCTTCCTTATGGATGTTTAAGGAGGATGGGCTGTGACCCTCCACGCTGGCCCAATGCGGATTGGAGGGTATTAACGACTACAAACGCAGCCGGGACCAACGGCTTAACGTGCCTTCCGAAGCACGGAGTAGCTGGAGATAATAATGTTTTGGTCACCCATCCCATGACCGACCCTTGCGAAAGTTGCTTAACGACTACGATCGCGGGCCGCGGCGCTTATTCACTACGCTACTGAGCTACTTAATTTCATATGTATAGTTGGTAAATATCACTGCCTATGCCTTGGCAAACTCGATATAGTTCTAATATGATAATCGTATGGTTCAAGTATCGAGTGTAGTGCCCTTAGTACATCGTCATTCACGAAATCCTATCAGTTGTATGGCAATTTTTGTCTTTGTCTCACTCTATTATTAGTTCGATGAAATAGCTGCCATCCTTCCCAATTTCTAATGACTATGCGAATATCATGAATTTGTTTCTTAAAAGGTGACAACCCTCTTCGCATTAGCGTTGATTGCGATTGATTTTTGAATACTAGGGAAAATAAATAAGCTCCCTTTTTGACAGGAAAATGTAGCAATGTAATCAGTGGAAGCAGTTTTCAAATAAATTTCTTCCCAATTGTTGGCGCCTTCATTTAATTCTGGTTGGACATTGCACTGCATAACGGGCCGTCCATTATCAGGTGATGTTTTTTTCAACATTTTTTGACCCCCCTTCCCCCGTGGTGATAGATGGTGAGGTTTAAGACTACCTCCTTCCTTCTTCAACCAAATGACGAGTATTTAAAAAAAAAAAGCAAAAAGTCTTAATTTTTGACGTCGTTTTTCGGTTTAATAATCACGCGTCGAGGAAAAAATAAATACACGTGATATATAACTACACCCCCCCACCCCCCTTGTGATATTTCGTGAGTTTTGACGAATCCCTCTCCCGCTTTTGAGCCTCACGTGATTAATGGACGGCCCCTAAGTTAGTGATTTAGCGAAGAGTAATAAATATTAGGAGATACCTATGTACTAATGAACATGTTATCGTTTTTTAGATATTTAAGAAAAGAAATGAAAGAACAATAACATTGCCTTTCACAAGACCCACACAGAGAAAATAAATGAAAAAAAAAGCAATTCAAAGTATGTGAGGATGAAAGAATGAAATGATATACTTATAATTAGATATTTTAAAATAAAACGAACATTTATATTACATTAAAGCTAGATTTAATATTTCAATTATGTAGGTATAACTCTTAAAGTTAGTATCAAATGTAATTTTAATATTTAATAGTTGCTGTATGATTTAGCTTATTTTCACATATTATCGTTTATTTTATTATTAAAACCTATAGAGAATGATTATTTCTGTTTTATAAATAAAAGTTACAAAATAAAATAAACATAATGATGCTAAATACAACAGAATATGTTTGATTATATTTAATCTGTGGTTTTAATGTCAGCGATGTCCGATTTTGCTCATGCTAGGTGGCGCTAGTGATGATTTTTTAACTTGTGATGAAAAATCGGGTTGTTGGATTCTTCTACTGTGTAAATGAGGTTTGTGCGGTTTTCTTTTAGTTATAACCATTTTATAATTTGGACAATTTCCTCGGTGTTACATTGGAGAATCCCTTTTTGTACATTGTTAGTACCACGGCACCACCGAGTCCCAAATTGTGTTGTAAGGCTATGCGGGCGTCTTTCACCTGTAAACAAATTAAAAAAAATTGTATCGGAATTGGAATAAAGTTGTCTCATTTAAGGCAATCAAATTTCTTTCTAATTCTTATTAAAAAGTTGTGAAGTTGTACAACATGCGTACTTATAAGGAAAATCTTAATTGAGAAAATCAATACCATTAAAAGTTTTAAACGGAAATCACAATTTCAAAAAATCTGATTACGCAATGCTAATAACTTGGTATCTTAGACTAAATAATAGCATAAAACAAAAGAATATGAAGGCTGTAAACTATACAATAAATTACGAAATATCAAAAAGAATTCTAAAATAATGACGAATTTTATTAAAGTGCTTAAATTCCAAGCCACAGCCTTTAAAATAAATTATGTATGCATATTGAAATACAATAAATATAATTGAGAAAACAAAAGCAATAGTCCTATTATAATACAACATATATTACTAGCATTAAACAAAAATCATATTCATCTTTTATTCTAGTTGTAATAAATAACGTAATATTATAACATAACCCTTCTTCTGTTTAATAAAGTACTTAACAGTAAATAATTAAAATCACATACTGTCACAAAATTATTGACATTTCCGAAAGATAAGAATAAGATAGTATATATCTTATTGATTTCTTACATTCACGCGCACTATCCATAAATGAAACAACTTTAAAACGGTCCATCGCGTTTGTATTTAGTTTTATTGACATTTCAGACCATTTACAGGTCCCGTGTTCATATAAGACTAAGGTGTTGATTGTCTTTTTAATTATGAGTATAGCTACCTTTGAAACAGTACTATTAGACACATTTACAATACATATGTTTTTATATATTTTATGTTAATTAACATTTATTAAATTAAATTATTTTAAAAATACATTCGGCTTATTAGTAATATGTGGTTGTTTTGTCTGAGAAGAACTGGCGAATCAAACTCCAACGAGAAAAATGAATTGCTCCCTTTTATTTAATATTTACAGAATAAACTAACCGTATCTTGTGGTTTTGCAATGTGTGATCTGGATTGAGATTAACATCTTAACGTAGGGCAGACTAAATGCTTCGCACATCTGTGTATTGCGCTTATATTAAAGAGTACCTTCTTTATTTAAAAAAAAAAGTTTATGTAGTAATTTAAAAAATCCAATCGTACCACATGAGTAAACGAGTCTTTTATTATGTTGATTTTGGGGCTCAGTGTCTCTGTGCGCCCAAGGCTAGTGCCCCCTTTGCCCCACCCCTAGATCCAGCCCTGGCTGTTACAAGCACTGGTGAATGTAATATGTTGCCATAGGTTCGCAAATCTGCGGCGGGAAACTTTGTACTGATAATAACTGATTTATGACACGTACTGTACACAGATGACACACAGATGATTGATGACAGTTTTTTGTCAATATAAGTACATATAGCAGTTCATTAATATTAAAATGAATATTAAACTTTCACATTTATAATATTAAAATATTAATAGGATAGGATTATTTATTTTTATTTCTTTATTAAAATAATACAACTGCTGTTGAAACTTTGTTGAATGAATAAATAAATACTCTATACCACACAAGTAGTACCACTTTATTCTCAGTATTTCACACCGATTGTTAAGATGAAACTAATTATTGTTTCAATAAAAATAGACTTGAGCCTCTTCTCGCATCACACGGCACGTAAATTTGAGTCGTTTAAGCCTACATTAACCGTTCTCACTGACCCAGTTAAGGTGATTAAATAATTAATACGCTTGAGGAAGTTTATATAAGAACCCGTCTAAATAAGTGTTCGACAAAAATATGTGTAATAAATGACATAAAAGATTGATTAAATTACTTCTAAAAATCATTATAATTTAAATCCATACATTTATTTACAAATCATGTCACTGTTAAAATGTCGAAAAAATACGATGTAGTTTACTCGTTTTCAATTACATTTGTTAGTACAAATTCAATTAAAAATAAGTTTTTGTGTACGCGTCCTCTTAATAAGCTTCTGATGATGATGTTAGACTATTTTAAGATAGTTTTGTCTATGCACGACAAAACTGTCTGAAGACAGTCTTGATTATAATGTACGCAGGCACTAATTCAAAATTTTGTGTAATAGGTCGTATAACCAACCTGTAAACTATGTCTTTTTATCTTACTTATTATTAAGATAATAAAGGCGAAAGTTTGTGGGTTCGGTTTTTTTAAATCTGGAGTAACTCAAAGGCTACATTTATCTCATGAAATGGTTTTCTAGTGATAAAAGTGTTTCATAAAATATTTATTCAAATACACTTATTTAATTAACCTTTCTCTAGTCATTTATTAAGTCGAACACGCAAGCAAAAGGCGGAATACTAGCTTGTACTGCGACAAAAGTCTTCGTTTCAATCGGTGGTAAATCGAGATAACCTTACGCGAGTTAAGGGTATTAACATTTTAAAGATAGCGAACTGACGTAAGTACCTTTACAATATGTAGATGACGATAATATTTACGATAAGACTGAGAATTATAAACAAATAAGCAATTTAGTTATGACATAATAAAATAGGCGGTACCTATTGAATGAACGAACAAAATCAGGGTTAGGCTCCTTTCTCTCTCCCCCATTGAGAATTAAAGAGGTTGAAAATCACGAATTCTTCTGAATTTATTTATTCGATAAATAAGGTTTTAAATAACCCCAATTTAAGTAGAAAACGAATGAATGAATTTCGCGTAGAAGCTAAAGTAGTTTATTCATTTCACAGCCTTGCGATTCTGTAAATATCGAGACCCGAATTCGAATTCATTCATGTGTACGAATCACGTCATTTAGTGTAGAAATTTTAATGATAACATTTTTTTTGGTATAAAAATACAAAACAAATTGATTGATTATACGTGTCTTAGATATTCTATTTCTATGTCATTTCGAAACTCACTTCATTTATGCCACGAAACTTTATTACCAATTCAAGATTGAGTTGAAGTCGTTTTTTTTGAAGTGGATTCGGACACCTGAGTGAATTCGAATTCGGCTTTAGACTTATACAGATTCGCAGGGCTGGCAACCAAACAATAGTACAACACAATTATGGCATCATTTCGAAATAGGGACCCTTTTTAACAAAGAGGGCCAATTCTACTAAATAAATTTTGTTTAAATCGAATCGAAAACAGATCGCAAAACTAAGTGACATACAATACAATTCCAGCTAAAATAGAACTGGAATTGTATAGTATGTCACCTTGTAGAATAGGAAAACCATTAAAAACTGCAGTTTCGTTCGGTTTCGATCCGTTTTCGATTCGATTTAAACAAAATTTATTTAGTAGAATTGGCCCCCAGGATTATGTTCGGGGACGTCAGGAAATATAACTTAAAAACGGGATGGTTCCGTATAAGATTACTTTGATTACGTTACTTTTGCTATTCTAGTATTCTATTTGATTAATTTAACGTTCATAATGCCATATTGAAAAATATTCTTAATGAAAAATGTAAAAAAAAACCACTTCAATTGGATTTTCAATTGGATTCACGCCAAGTGAATTTTTTAAACATTTTTCATTAAGAATTTCAGTATTCTGTTGAAAACAGCGTCCAACTCGACGTCAGGCACATCGATGTGAAATTCTCATGATATAGAAACCTTTATTATTGTTTCAAAAAAGGTTTTATTTGATTTAATCCCTACACAGTGGTAACGCTACTCTCTTTATTGGGTTTAAGTCTATTTTAATAAATAAAACATATACATTACTAAGATGCCAAGATGTGTAGATAAAGGTAGGTTATAATTTACGCAAGCGAAGTTGTAGGAAATAGCTAGTTTGATTTCGATAAAATTTAAATGGGACTACCTCGGTCCATCAAGCTGTCTAACAAAAAAGGAATTATAAAAATCGGTCAACAATTGGCACAATTACAAACAAAAAAAAATTGGCTTGGGGGTCTGACTAAGTATACTATATGTTTTCGGGGTCGCTGAATCCAAATCCGAATTTTACGAAGCTAGATTTTCAATAGTATTTTTTCTTTTTTGAATTATATATAATCTAAACTAACAGCTGATCTGTTTGTTTCGATATTTAGTCTTATCTTTTATCAAAGATTTGATGGCGTTCTGTTATCACCTCACAATCAGTGTGTACATATCGTGCGAAGTCCAATATCAAGGCAATTGTTATGTTCTCTTGAGTTCATATATTCAGCAAATCTTAAAATCATCGAAACTATTTCTATTGTATAACATTATAGAATCCATCTTAAGGTTCTCTTATATGCATACAAATACGCAAACAAATACGCATCGGGAGCAAAGACGCGCTCGCTTAATTTCATCCATTTTTAGTAACAGAAAAAACAAATGCAATGGCAAAATTTTAATTATTTACTTGGTTTTTATGAAAACCTATTTAAGTATATATTTTTTATATGGTTAATATAAAATATATTTGCAATTTCTAAGACATCTTTGTATATTTTTCTCAATCAAGTCAATTATTGAAATTTTTGTTTCTGTTTTCTGCTAATAATCGATCATGTTTAATTTCCATTTATTTGTAAAATATATGCATAGCCCTTGAATGAAATTGGTTTAAAACGATTAAGTACAGTCTAAAATTAATTACATTTGATAAAATATGGTGACCGTATTAACGTTTTAACGAATTGCAAGCAAATGAATTCAGAATGTATAACGAGATTGATAAATCTTCCTATCCTTTATTTTTCTCCTTAGATCCATCACTTAGCGGACATATATCGAACAGTAGGTGCTTCGAGTAGCTCGGTGGCGTAGTGGATAAGCGCCGCGGCCCGCGATCGTAGTCGTTAAGCAACTTTCGCAAGGGTCGGTCACGGGATGGGTGACCTAAAAATTATTATCTCGAGCTACTCCGTCCTTCGGAAGGCACGTTAAGCCGTTGGTCCCGGCTGCATTTTGCAGTCGTTAATATCCTCCAATCTGCATTGGGCCAGCGTGGAGGGTCATGGCCCATCCTCCTTAACCATCCATAAGGAAGGCCTGAGCCCCTGCAGTGGGGACGTAAAAAGGGCTGGTGGTGGTGATGAGGTGCTTCGAGTGCATCACGGAAGTATGAATTAATACGCGACGGATCGTCCGTAGGGTCTGCAATGGGGAATGTTATATCATAGCATTTGTCAATTTTGACTTCCTTCTACCGATCCCTTAGGTCCTACAATCTTTCTTTTGTTTGACATCATCTGCACATTTTTCCGAAATTCAGAGTTGGATTATACACTTGGACATATGGACAACAAATTGATGTTATAATAATAAACCCTTTTAGGTCCATCTTGTAGTTTATGCGTATTTGTACTTACACTACACATCTATTTTATTGCCAAAATAAAGTGATATTCAGTCAGTTGCAAAAACGTCCATTAAGGTTTAATGACGCTTTTAAGCTCTAAATAATGTCAAATTTGTATGGGTAATGTGGCTTTAAACTAATGACAATATTAATGGATGTTTGTGCAACTGGCTAATTATCGACTACATTAAAACTGAGATGGTAACGATATGATGCTAAAAATATAAGTTTAAAAAAGTTTAAAACAAGATTTTTGTTTTCAGCGATAGCTATATTATAATACCGATGACCAAAAAACAGCGTAGTCGTATGCCATTGATCATAATACAAACCATAAAACAAACTGTTGTGCTATTATAACACCTATAGCTATCACTATAAAATAAATTTCTTGTTTTAAACTTTTTGGAGCGTGATTTAGCTGTAGTCGGGTTTTAGATTTTGAACTTTAGCAAAAGCCATTTGTTAAATGTGCTAATTAAGCCCTTTCATTTGATACCCTAAGCGGAATGATTGAATAATATTTTTTTTACTTTTTTATTTTATGCTCTCTAGAGGGCGCTGTTGCCAATTTAATTTTACGTTGCATAGCCTTTAGTACGCGGACAACAAAGACGCTTCTAATGACACCAGTAACGATGAGTAGTTTCGAAGTTATAAGGGAACAGACAAAAATTCTAACATACATACATACTGGTCAAAATTATGACCCTCCTTTTCATTTCGCCGCCGGGTAAATAACGATAGTAACTTGCGGAATTAGTCAAGATGTTCCTGCGTGATGATGATGTAAAGTTTATGAATGTATAAAAGTGAGGGATAGATAAAAAACACTCAAAAATAGGATTTAAGCAGAAATAATACCTGCCCGCTGCATTAGTTCACTAATACGGTTTTAGTAATATTAAAAAAATGCCTCTTGTGGAATATATGTTATGTTGAACATCTAAACGTTATGATAACTCTGAGTCATATGGCTTTAGTTTCGTTTCAAATGTATTTCTTTTTTTCTTATAATACTAACCTGCCTTTCACCAGCTTCTCCTCTGAGTTGCCACACTAGTTCAGCGCACTGAGCTAACCCAGTCGCGCCCAGTGGATGCCCCTTAGCTATCAACCCACCGCTGGGATTGACTACCACCTGCCCTCCATAAGTATTATCACCAGCATCAATAAACTTTCCTGCTTCACCTACTCCACATAGCTGCAATCCTTCATAAGTAATCATTTCATTAGTCGCAAAACAATCATGGAGCTCCACAACATCCACCTGTTTTGGCGATACGCCAGTTTTCTCATAAATACGTTTAGCTGCCAAAGCGATCATATCCGTGCCGACAATCTTCATTAGACTATTCTCTTCGAATACAGCAGGTGTGTCTGTGGCCATTTCCATACCAATAATTTCGACGGCTTTATTTTGGAGTCCGTATTTGATGACGGCCTCTTCAGACATCAGAACAGCTGCTCCGGCTCCATCGCTAGTGGGACAACATTCTAATTTTGTCAATGGGCCGTATATCTTCCTCGAATTCAATATCTCTTCCACTGTGTATTCCCTTTTACTCTGCGCTCTTGGGTTCTTCACACCGTGACGGTGATTCTTCGCCGCGATCTTCGCTAAATGAACTTCAGTTGTGCCATACTTTTTCATGTGTTCTATGCCTGCATTTCCGAAATATTGTGGCGTCAGAGGACCGGGGAGGACTTTCGTCATTTCTCCCATTTTGTCTATATGCCTTTCTAGAGGGTCAGCTCGATCTGTGAATACAGCATTGCCGAGAGCACCAGGGCTCATTTTTTCAAAGCCCAATGCTAAGCCGACATCGATGATGCCACCTTCTATTAGTTTCTTGCAGAGGTAAAGAGCATTTGAGCCAGTGGAACAGTTATTGTTGACATTGAAGATTGGTATGCCAGTCATGCCCACTTGGTATAGGACACGTTGGCCACATGTGGAGTCTCCGAAGACGTACCCACAGAAAGCTTGTTGGATGTCTTCGTATTTAACACTGGCGTCTTTTAACGCGTCAAGGACTGCCACTTTAGCGTAGTCGGGGTAATCTCCGCCAGTGCCTGGCTTGACGAATTTCGTCATACCAACTCCTACTACGTAAACTTTTCTGGGCATGTTGGCGACGCGACTGTTCCACAGCAAATTCAGAAGCAAACTGAGCGCTCATTTATAACCATTGCAAAGCTATATTATGTCAGATAAATGTATTACACTTTTATTTCTTGTTATCTTTGTTATGTTATTGGACGGTATGTTTGATATGTGTGTAGCTGATAAACATTCTTTTATATTTTTTCTTTTACAGTTATATAGTATTTAGTTCTTAAAGGCTTATTACAAATACATTATCGGAAAATTAAATTGTTTTATATTAAATATCGGCACTATAATACTTAAAATGACATATTTCTTAACTAGCTTTCGCCAGAGTGGTCCTTAGGGAAATGTTTAGTGGCATAAAAATCGAAGTCAGCTAATATCCTATCTATATACCAAATTTCATGAAAATCCGTTCAGTAGTTTGGGCGTGATTGACCGACAAACATCCAAGCATCCAAATAAACAAACTTTCACATTTAAAATATTAACAGGATTAGTTTAAATGATTTGAAAAGAGACTCTTACTATCCAGAGAGAAAGAGAGAGAGAGAGTCTCTGTTAAGTCGAAACCCATCTAAAGGTAAGTGTAAGTTTTACGCTACCGCGTTCACTAATGAGCGCGTTATGAATTTGTATGGCGATTTATAGTTCTTGGTAGTTACCGCTAGGGGCACTGTACCGGATTCCATAGTAAAATCTTAATGCGCTTACGATCGACGGTGAACATAAATGCTAAAATAACTTACACTAAGCGTTCTGATTTAATTATTTTTGTAGATGAAATAACGTCTTTGAGCATTTCAATAATACTATAACTACATTATGATAATAGTTCAGAAATCAGCCTTTATTGAGTTACAAACAATAGTTGAATATATTTCGATTATTTTCGGTTACAGGATATGGGGTTTATGGATACCAGGTTCAACCCTAATCCAGTTGTTCTTCAGAAGGAACATCACGTTCCGCGTCAAATATATGTGAGTTTATTATATGAAATATTAGAAACAACTAATGAAATATTCAAAAATTTAATTACTACTCGTAAAAATTTATATGACACCTGAAGGCTCTTTTTAACGAAAACGAAATCTCGTCTATTATCGAATTACTAATAAGACTGTAAAGAAACGGATTTACGGCAATTCGTGATGCAACGGAGGTAGGAACGGACACTGATGTACAAATAATCTTCGCGGATATGATTCTAACAAAATTATAAGAATGATTTGATATTTTCCGAATTTTCGTTTGAAGGCTAATAAAATATGCCCGTGGGTTTCATGTTAATTCGTACGAGTTATGTATTCATTCCAGGCCTGCGATTCTGTAAAAATCATTAAGTGTAGAAATTCTATTAATTAAATTATTTGTATAAAAATACAAAACAAAATTGTGTCTCAGATATTCTATTCCTATGTCATTTCGAAACTCACTTTACTTTTACCACGAAACGTTATTACCAGTAGTCGGAATTAGGTAGAGTTATTTATGTACTTAAACTGATTTCATATAGCGAAAGAATAAAGTGGATATGCCTCACTCAAATCCCGAGATTAATTTTAAAGAGCAGAAAAAAACCCGTGATTTTTTAAATAAAAAGTTATTTACTTTTACACAATTTAAACTACTGCACGCACGACGTTGCCAAACTTACATCAATGAAATAAAGAAATAAAGAAATCCCGGGAAGGTCCATATTAATATCAACATTTCGATGCAAGTACATAAATAACTCTACCTAATTCCGACCTCTGGTTATTACTAATTTAAGGTTGAGCGGATGCTGCTTTTTAAAGTGAAAACCTGAGTGGATTCGAATTCGGGTTTGGTTTTTTACAGAATCGTAGTGCTGGCCTATTTTGCCAATTTTAATGTAGTTAAAATGTGTTAATATAGTTTTAATATCATCTCTTTTTAATGCAGTACTTAGTCAGGTTATATAATTTCTCCGTTTAGTTTTAAGGTTTAATGCGTTAAAGGTAACGTTCAAAATCTACCGTTTAAGCCATGTGTATATTGGGACCCAATATAGTAGTACAATATACTATTATAAGTTTGGTAATGAGGGATTTTTTTTTCAGCCATCTCCTTATTCGCTTACTACTCCAAAGGTGAGTGTACACTTTTCATAAATTACACAGTCAACTGGCTTTTTTTTTGCCGCTACGGTGGTTGTTTCTTTTTATTTACAAAATAGCGACATGGACTTTATAAAGTTATAGGATTTTTTTTTAATTTTCCTTAATATGCTCTTCTTGTTTCATATAGCCACTTCCTACAAAAAAATTAAGGGTAAGTAAGTAATATTATTTATAAATCCTGTTTCATATGTTCTTGTTTATTGCATTTATACACGTAATATGAAAATAGAATTATCAAATGTTGAGTAAATGGATGATTTTTATTAAAAAAAAAAACCGAGGAAACCTGCTAAAGATAACTAATATAAAACTATTTAATAAAAATGTACAGAACAAAGCTAGATTATTTAAAATAATATTCCTACCTATAGCTGTAGCTAATGTTATAGCGAGAGAGTTAGTCGGTTCCTAATCCAATGCGACTGCCTCATTTTCTAGGCACAGGATACGACATCTAGTTGTAACAATGCGTTGTACCACTGTTTATTTCGTCCTAGGTTTCCGCATGCAAACTTTTGGTCTTTGATCTGCAACACAATTTATTTTTAATCATTCACTTTTCGAAATTTGAAATGTTGAGTAATCCAATATGCTCTTTATGAATGTCAGTTCATGAAAATTAGTCGAGTTATAAACATTATACATATTTAATTGCAATCAATAGTAATTTCTTGTAAAAATGTATACAAATCGATTATAATAAAGTTAAGTTACAAAACCCGAAGAAAAGAGTTTTTATGTTTACCCTTTATTGAATCAAGTTCTCAAGCTTAGTCAGCCTTTTATTCATTTGCCTAAGCAACGAACCCGTCACATAGTGATATTATGGTGACATTTTGATTTGTTTTACTATTTTGACCACACTTCGACATATATTTTGGTGGATTAATTCTGAATAAATTACTAAGTCAGTAACACTGTTGTCTAATGCTTAATTATCAGTCTTTGTCATTCGTTTGTCATTATTAAATTACATGTCAAAGAAGTCAGATGGAATAATATAACACCATGACACCGCTAAGATTACGTATACTACGGCTAGTGTTAGGTGGCAGAAGGCGTATTCTATTTCTTCGAAAAAGAAATTTTGTCTATGTCCGAATTACTAATAAGACTGCAAAGTAATGCATTTTCGGTAATATATGCTGCAACGGAGGTAGAACTTGGGGCGCGATCGACCATCTCATGGATGTAGCCGTAGTTGTAGCTATAACCTGCGCTTTATGGATATCTTTCATGAATCTGTTTATATTCTGTTAAAATTAATAGTTTTTTTTATTTATTTATTTTATCAAACATTTTAGTTTATTTTTCTTTTCGAAATAGCATTGTTTGTATCAATTCGACGTTTTGTAAATTTCGTTTAACTTTAATAATTCAGCAAACAAAAACAACTAAAAGCATTGATTAAATATGTAAATAATCAAAAATGATTAATTTTAAAAGAATAGCAACAGATTCATGTAACACACCTATAAAGCGTAGGTTATAACTACGACTACGGCTTCGTCCATCATCTATCATGGATATGAGCTTAATAAAATTATTAGAACGATTCGAAATTTACCGACTTTTCGTTGTCCCCACATTTGCCCTGAACCGAGAGCCGACAGTAGCTGTATCATTGTTATCCGTGAAGCACTGAGATATTACGGTGAAAAAAGAAACGCACGTGTGTTAAAGCAGTGGTATGATATTTTTTAGCGACGATAGATGGCGTTCAATTAATAAATATATAAACATTTTTTTGGAACACGTAAGCCATTTATCGCTGAACTGACAAAAAAAATCGTAACGCTTTATTTACTAAAATTATTTTTGTTTATCTTTTAGCATTTGAACAAGAAAGCTGGCTTCGATTATGACATAGTAAAAAAAGTTGTAAGTACATTAGCAAGTGTTAAAGTTAAGAAAAGTTCAAGTGAAAGAACGTGCCTTAACAGCGTAGTAAATTAGAAAAGTTAACCAGAATGAGTACGCTTAACTCAACGAACGAATTAACATTTAGCATTTTACATTTAACGAGTGTTTATTACCCTTTTAAAAGCGTGACCACATTTAAAAGTTAAACTGGATGGAAATTAATTTAAATCGGTTACTTTTAAAATGTTTCTGTTATTATAAACTAACTATTTATAAGCGAATTTTTAAATCCGGTCCAGAAGTTTCCGAGTTTATTCAATGCAAGCAAACGATTAAATCTTTCCTATTTATAAGTTTAAAGTTGTTAACGGCATTATTTCATTTCTACTGGTGAATATAAACTAGTGTCAAAGTTGACGTATTTTATCCAAAATATATCATCTAATAATTATAACATTTATATCCATAAAAGTTGTAATTAACCACGGGACTGCTACCATGCATTTACCTTGTTTTAACGAGTCTGATATTTCGGCATTATTGCAAATATTATAAACATGGTGAGTTTTAATGCAAAGTAAATATTTAATAATAAAATATGAACATAACAAGTAAATATGATATTTACTGCTTTCTGGCGCAAAAATGCATTCGGTTGCACAAATGTTGCATAATGATAAATTCGCCGTAATAATTTAAGTTGCCGGTGAACAGCAATGACCTTAGACGACAAGCGTAAAAATTTCATTTTAATTTATCAAATTTGTTGGTAGTTGGTATTATATATCAATCTTCATCTCTATTTAAATTCTTATGTTATGGATACGCGAGGCCATTGAAATCAAAAAGAGCAATTTACTTTTCTTGGACGGTGTTTATTTCGCTAGTTCTTCTTAGACAAGACTCCCAAATTTTAAACTGATGATAGCTTACGGTAGCCGGTAGAATCCCGTAACTAATTACTACAAGTGACCATGGAGGTTTAAAACATTTTTTTTTATCATTCAGAACTGCTATTATAGCCATATTAAAAATCAAACTTTGTATTCTTTCAAAGATTAAATAGTTTTAAGATAGTGAAGATACATAAAGAT